GAAGCTGATCTTTTCCCTCAACCAGGTGTGCTCTCACTTGAACCGCTGTGCCTATTTCTATCTGAGCCCAGCCGCTATGGTTGATGTGATTGCATCCAGCTTGGAAGGGGAAGCATCTGAGTGGCTGAACAATTTATATACGAGCAAGCACCCAAGTTGGAAGACCCCCATCTCTTCCTCCTAGGACTGAGAGTGAGGTTCAAGGACCCATCCATTGCCCTCCTAGTGGAAGTACAAGTCCACAAAATAAAACAAGCCGGCAGGCCTGCATTGGAATACGTATGAGAGTTTCACAAGATAGCTAGCCGAATAGAGAGGTGGTCTGAGCAATCCCTAGTCCATCACTTCAAGGAGGGACTAGACCAGGGCTTTTCAACACAGCCAAGCAAGACACCTGCCTGCCCGGCAGTGCTATTCCTCCTGTCTGAGGTTTCCATTGTTGTGAGCATTTCTGTTGAGGATTGGCAGCAGGGGTGGGGTGGTGGGTGTTTGGTTTTTATTCTCCCCATCTGCTGGGTGGTTGCAGCAGGTTTTGGTCACTTCACATGACTCCAAAAGACTGTGACCATCATAAATATGAATCAGTTGCCAAGCATCTGAATGTAAATCACAAGACCCTGGAGATGCTACAACATTCCAGCTGATCGGCATGTCTTCTGGGCTCAGCAGAAGCACCAGGATCAGTGCTGCTTTCCAGCTGATTGGTACTTCTTCAGGACTCAGCAGAAGCACCAGGATCAGCGCTGAGCTCCAGCTGGAGCATGGTGCTGATCCTAGTGCTTCCACTGAGCCCTGACAACCCCAAAGAAGCGCCAATCAGCTGGAAAGTGGCACTGATCCTAGCACTTCCGCTGAGTCCTGACAGCCCTGCAGCTCCAGCCATCTCTCGCTTAAGCTTGTGCGGTGCTGCCACTGATTCAGCTTATTCCCCTCCCCCACTACCACTTTTCTAGGATGGTTGCGTACCACCTGCCAGGTGCCAATGTACCACAGGTGGTACCCGTACCACTGGTTGAAAAGCCCTGGACTAGACGACCACCTCTCCCAGGCCTGTATCTACCGAGCAGTCCCTGATCAGCTGCAAGAATGGTACCAGGCAGCAGTAAGGTTAGACGTTCAGCTCGCTTGCTATAAGAAGCCACCCCCACAAGAAGCCAAGTCGAGGCCAAATCAACCCAAATGACAGCCACCCTCCCGAATGCCTCCAACCGCTGTGGCTACTGAAAATTCCAAGCCACCTGCTGGCCTGGAATCAACTGTTTCAGATGTAGACAACAGGGACATTGAGCAGCGAGTTGCCCAGTCCCTTACCCTCAGCAGCAGAATAGACCGGGACCATCAGCGAGAAAGAAACCTGCCCAGCAGCTGACGAAAGAGAAATCCAACTGCATCAATTCTAATGGCTGGGATTGAAATGGGACATGGAAAACTATGTCCGGAGTTGTGCTGTATATGCTACCATGAAAAGAATTCCGGGGAAACCCCCTGGGTTATTGTAACTGGTGGCAGACCCTTTCCAACCATGGGAAGAAATTGCTATGGGTTTTATAGTAGACCTACCTGAATGTAGGGGAAATATGGTTATCTGGACTGTGATAGATCTGTTCTCAAAGCTGGCTCACTTCATTGCCTGCAAAGGGCTCCCATCCACCAATGACTAACCAAAATGTTCCTGAAACACATCTACAGACTGCATGGCACACCTAAACGAATAATCTCTGACAGGGGAACGCAGTTCACAGCTAAGTTTTGGAGGAGTTTTCTTAAACTAATTGCCTCATCTCAAGGATTATCATCTGCTTATGCTTTTCACCTGTCTATCAATCGGGCGGCTGTATCTGTGAACTCAATGGTAGAGCAGTATTTCCGATGCTATGTAAATTATCAACAAATGAACTGGACTGACCTCCTTCCTTTTGCAGAGGTGGCTTACAATAACTCTGTTCACAGCAGCACCGCCTTCATGCCTTTTAAAGTGGCCACAGGAAAAGAGTTCAGCCCAATACCTGAATATCCCCAAGCGCCCTCCACTTCCCAGACTCTTGATCAGTGGGTGAGGGGGCAGGAGGAAGTTTGGAAAACCACGAAAATTACTTTGGAAAAGGCTTCTGAGACATAGAAAAACAGGCAGATAAAAAAGGGCTACCCAAAGAACATTCCAAGTTGGAGAAAAGGTTTATCTGTCAACTAAATATTTACAGCTTAAGTTGTCTAGTAAGAAGTTAGGACCAAAGTTTTTAGGACCCTTCCCCATTGTAAAGGTCATTAACCTGGTCACAGTGGAATTAAAACTTCCTAGGCTCTTAGGAAAAGTTCACCCTGTTTTCCATTGTAGCCTGTAGCCTTCCTTTTCAGGGTTCCACCTTAAGACTTCCATTTAAGAAGGCACCAGGACCCTCATGGTGGCAGGACAGACTCATTATGAAGTAAAGCATATTCTTGATTCTAGAATTTTTAGGGGGAAATTGTAGTACTTAGTACAATGGAAGGGATATCCATTGTCTGAGGCCACCTGGGTGAAATCTAGTGATGTAAAAGCTTTACAGACTCATAAATAGGTTCTATAAGAAATACCCTAATAAACCAAGAGGCAACCCCTAATCTGTGATTTTGTTTGCATTACAGGATTTGTCCTTTTTGTAAGGGGGCCCAGATGTCAACGCTGCTAACATCAGATGTTCTTGCTTTGACAACAGATGGAAATGTAGCCATCTTTTCTAATAATAACTCAGCCGTGGGAATCAAGGTTATTGTGCCCAGAGTTGATAAAGATTTGGTGGGCTGGAGAACTGAGGAGAAAGCCCGTGCTTCAAGCTACTTGGGGAATGTGATTTATGACAGTTAATTGGAGGAGGGAATTGTGCTTTGCTACTTTGTGCCCAGGGGAGGGGAATTCAGTTTGGGGCTTTAACTATGTAGTGCCAATACTTTGTTTCTTGAATAAAAGATTCTTGAAAGTAAACAATGCCTCAAAGTTCTTTTGAAGAGTTTCATCTATCAGAACCATGACATATATTTTGCTAGGCCCCAGAGCAAAGGTTGAGCAACTTAATCCATTGTAAGAGTGCTGCTTTGTTTAGGCAAAGATTGTACAAAACAGAGTATACTGCCTGCCCCTTCCTGTTTGGAGGCTATACATTTTTTTCAGTGTAGGAGATAGAAGCTAAAACATGGGAGGGCTGTTATCACCCTGTCCTGCTTGGGAGGCTGGTTTTCAAAAGCATCAGGAGGATTGCTCTTGGGGGAGTGATGGAATAGATGGCCATTAGTCTGACCAGCAGAAGGAGGAGATGTCCAAGGGCATTTTAATAAGAACAAGAACAACATATCCATCCTTTCCCCTAGCTACAATTCAAAGTCAGGTGTCCTATTGATTTCATTTGAAGTCCTATTGATTTCAACTGAAGTTATTCAGGAATGTGGTAGGTCTTCCATCACAGCTATTTCCAGACAAATAAACTTTTCATGTTATCTATCAAAAGGCCAAGGTTTTTTTTTTTAAAAAAAGATTTTCTATGGTAAGACAAGAAAGGAATGTGGAAAACATAAGAGGGCTGCAAAGGAAGAAGATACTACCTGGACCCTTGGTGAAGTTCTGTGAATGAAAAGAGTAACTGCCCAATAAAGGCACAATCTGGAATCTTCCTTTAAATGCCCCCCCCAAACTTGTCTGAGGTGTACCTGTGTACATTTTGCCCCACCTGCACCCTTATTTTCCCAGAGCGTTTCTTAAGCTGCTGATGGTCTAACAAAAGCAATGGATTGAGCGGTGGGCTCTGTACACTGGGGGTCTGGCACAATGGAGAGGGGCTTAGATCATCCAGTTCATAAATATTTAGATGACACCATAATTGACTACAATAAGAAGAATCTCTGCCAAAAATATTAATTTCAACAGATAAATGGAGGTTAATTTTCATTAAAAAATCTATTTAAGGCAGCAACATATAAAAACTATTGAAAATACTGCATTTGTGTAGGAAAAGAAGCAGAGATAGACTAAATAAATTTTAAAATCTTTCCAGTAGGGTAAATTCTTCTCCTTGATTTAAGAAGGCATTAAGGAAAATCTATTTCATGTTCTTAGCCTCATCTGTGCTTCAAAAACTATATTTGGAGAAAAACTGGAAAGAGGTGAGAAACAGTGGTACCACTTTCTGCTTAAGGGTGCACAGAAGAAAACCTATTTTACTAAAGAGACCAAGGTGAAGGAGAAAAACAGGAGCCTTTGGCAGAGCCAAGGACTTGGAGTTTACAAATAAACTAACTGATTGAAGATTCTTTTTATGAGAAACTTTGTTACAGGGAGATATTTTTTCAATTTTTGAATAAGCTGTGGTAAGTTCATGAAGATTTTGAGGCACAAAAGAGCCAATATAGATTGAACACAATACAGGAAGAACATCTTAAGATAGTCATTCCTATTTAAAATACTGTGCTACAGTATTTTTTGATTTTTACTTCCTTCTGGGGCTTTTATTGTGTGGCTTTGGGAGAGTTGTGTAATAGCAGTTTATTTTAAAATATAAAAAGTGTGGAGGTTGACTAGCATTCAAATGCTGTGCTAATCTTTAAAGTGGCATTATTTTGCAAAGGCAATAAGAATACCAATGGGCTTTCATTCACAATCTGAGGCCATTACAATAACAACAGTGTTCAGATATTAGTGGTTGATCTGTTGGATAAGACTTGAAAGGCCTGACTGAAGTCCTAATCTCAGCTCTCTGGGTGCTTTTGTCCCAGTCATTCTCTTTGTCTTCTCTGATTCTTACCCTTGGCATATAATCAGATGAAGAAATGCGATATATACTTCCTTATGTTCCTAGAAGAAAAGTAGAATATAAATCTAATGATTTAATCAAGTGAAATACTAATCTTCTACAATGAAGGAATTAAACTGCAATGACACATGCATGTTTGCACTTAAAAGGAATTATGAGGTTTTTCCACTGGAGTCTCTGAAAAAAAAAAAAGTCTTTGCAACTAGTCCAAAGGCTTACCAGTAAGGGTGGCTTTGGATATGGCACCTGCATTGCGTGGCACCAAAACTTCGTGATACTGCTCACCAGCCAGGGTGCTATATACCAATTTGAAGTTTTCCACTTCTGCCTCACTGTTGTCCCACTCAAGGCCTAGGCTGTCTGATGTCCGAGAGAGTACGCGTAAATTCTTCGGAGCATCAATTTCTGCATTGGAAAAAGAAAGCAAACAATACAAATTCCTTTATAATCGCACCAAGTATATCTCATATTAGTAAGATATGTTTGAAAAAGCATTTCAAAAGCAATGCAAGTAGGCAGGTTATTTAGATTTCATGCTATTACTCTACGCAGAGAGAATTTGAACCATAAAACCAAAGAAATTTGTAATTATAAAGTATTAATAATGATAACAATAAGAACTATGTAATTGTGTGACACTTTAAAGCACGCAAAACATTTCAGGATCTTATCTAATTAGAATTTGTAGAACATTGGTTCAGCCAGTCACCTAATTTATGTGCAGATACAGATATATGTTTCAGTTCATGTCAAATCTGCTACATTTAAAATGAAGCCAAATATGGAAAATTGAAGGAGTCAGAGTTAAAAATGAAATCAGTTTGGTTCAAATTAAAGCCTAGTTTAATTGTATGAAATCAAGGACTCTGTTATTAGAATTGAGTCTGTACAGTCTTAGGCAACAATAAATCTGAGCTTTTAAATTTAGAAATTGAATCTGAATGTGGCTAGGTGAGCAGCATTTTTATCTCACTGAGTTTTGTTCTTTCTTTTAAATTTAAAAGGAACAAAATGCTATATATGTAGCTGCACTAAGCTGAATCTTCCGCTTAGCTTCTTTGGCCCAGGATTATCTGCTGAGACAGAAAGTGGCTCCCACTTCTGCATTTTGACATTTCAAAAAGAAATACTATTATTTGGCACAGAGGTATGTCCTTCTACCTCACATGCATACACGAGGGACCTGAAACAACAACATTTCACATTTAAATATGCATCTGGTTGAAAAGAACAATGGTTCTTAAACCGTTTGATCCAATTACCCTTTTCCTGGCCTCAAATAATGTCATTAGCCTGCCTCCCTTATGTACACAAAACACAGACTGTGGTTTTACATATGCATCTTAGCAGTGACAGTCCCAAATTGGATTGGTGACTCACAAACAAGCAGTTACAAATGCCCCAGTTATCACCTAACTATCGGCAGAAAATCAAAATATAAATTGCATACATAAATATTTCTGTTGGTTTGGGTTCCTTTTCATTTATGTATATTTTCATTGTGGAACTGACAAGTGTTCCTAATACCTCAATAAATGATATGCAGGGTCAGTATCACAACTGTATAATTTTAAGCCCAATCTGAATTGCAAATAGCAGAAAGAAGAGAAACAAAAGCAGGAATAAAAGGTCAGGAGGCTTTAAAGATGCACAGAAAACAGTGGTTGAATTAAAAATTACAGGTGCAATTCTACATCCAGGAACCTAGGGAAAAAAATCCTGTGTGAGATTTACACCTAAGATGATATGGATAGGAGTATGATGTGGTATTTTGTTTTATTAAAAGTTGCAGAAGTTAAACTTTGAGTTCAATGAGGTTTTAGTTCTGCTAACTTGTCTTAATCCATGCCAAAAGAACAGTCTTCAGTAATTTTAAGAAAAGTGAGTTAAGATGTGGCGGTCTTCTTGTTAAAGTTGGAATGGTATGAGTTTCCTGTTGATCAGTTACATAATCAGGGATTTGCAATTACAAGGAATTTCAATGCATCTCAGTATTTTTTTTTAGTCCCACAAACTTCTTTTGTTTCCTTGCACGCAACAGCGGAGAAAAGCAACAGAGAAATATCATGGAGAAATGCAATGGAGCTGGAAATCAGGTTAGTGAAGAAATGCTTGGGGGAAGCTAGAGCATCTGGGCAGTGGTGGGCCAAGTTCTCCAGCTCCACGGAGGCAGAGAAATGCAATGGAGCTGGAAAGCAGAAGGCAAGGCAACCCTCCCAAGCGTGCCAGGTGCTGAGATGGGCCCGTCTCTCTCCAGCAGCAGCCCAGGCCCGCTGGAGGGAAGATCTACTGAAATGTGATGGCATTCCGTGTCTAGTGGGAATGGGGCAGCTGGCATGGGCACTGCAGGCAGGACATCTGCTTGCTTCAACACCCTCCCCTATCCTCTGGGGCTCCGCCTGCCACTTTGGTAGCTGGGTGGGCAGAGCTGCAAAGGGGTTGAGCTGGCCAAAAGCCCAGCCCAGTGATGATGCAGAGCTGCAGGCCTCCACAGCTGCCACCATTGAAACAGTGAAAGGGGACCAGGCAGCGTGAGGTGGCGCTACAGGACCGAAGTGGCAGGTGGTGAAGGAGGAGGTGGTGGCCGCTGCCAGGCAGGTGATTTGTGGGATGGGGCATGAGTGGTGGGGCCTGAAGGAAACCCCTTCAGTGGCAGACGTGGTTGATGCGCAGCGGCAGCAGAGGCGTTTTGCTTTCACTCCCCCTGCCTCCGAATCAGTGGAGGGGATGGGTAAGGGGCCTCCCCTGCCCATCCTCCATAGCATGGCAGTCTGGCTTGGAAGGGGAGTGAAAGGGAAGAGGCGGGCAGGTGGGCAGGATCTTAACTAAGGCTTATTTTGGGGGTACGGCTTATATTAGGCCCACCCCCCAAAATCAAGCTAGGGCTTATTTTCGGGGTAGGTCTTATTTTTGAGGAATCATGGTACCTTCAGTCTGTGGTGAGAAAAACATTCCCTCAAGGTACAAAATGTTTCAAAAATAGCAACTACTTACCACTTTGTAGTTCCTGGCTTGTCCCACCTCCCAAATCATAGAATCCAGTCATAGCAGCACACTGCCATGAACTGATAAAGAGTCAAAATGCAAAAATACTGGAATGTCAGGTTAGAAGTTAAAAGGCAACAGAGTTTTGCTATGCACACAACCATGTGGAAATACTAGCCTTTTTTTAAAAAAAAATGAAAGAAGAGAAAAAGATTTGCATTTAGAGGGGACGGACAAGACAATCAATTGCTAGCTAATATACAAGCTCTGATTATTTGACAGCTCTTTATGCACTGTTACTAACCAGGAAGGGCAAGTGCTCATTGACCAGCAGTTCTCTGTGAACTTTGACTTGAAAACATATTGTATGCTTAAAACATCCTAATATCCAAATAAATCTAAAAATAGTCATGGATCAAAAAAAGCTTGGCTGAATCTCAGATGTATTTTAAATTGCATTCAGTGTAGTTTGGAGATGGAAAAAGTGGTCTGGAAGAGTTCAAGCTATCTTTGAAAGAAATTATTCACAGCCATCCTTGTGGAAGAATAATTGACCTGAATGTATCATTTTGTGCTATCCTTCCCTAACATTCTGAGGGTTGCCATGCCACATTTTGGGTACTGAAAATGAAATAAGAACATTTTGCACTGTGTGAAGCAAGAGTGGCAAACACATCATGCAATAGTTTTGCCACTTTATTTATTGTTTTGATTATGACATCTCACCAAAGAAAGTCTAAGAATGAAAACCTCAGCAAATCGATAGATACATATCCCCCTTTCTCTTAAGTCCAGTCAGCACAATATTATCATAGAGATAATACAAATCTCTAGTATCCATCTGAAATCTTTATGAAAGGCAATATCTAAGCCATAAAACAGTTCCAAACTCTGCTTTCCTCCTTTATGGAGTTGTAAATTAAACTTGCTAGCTGACTATAGTGTTGACTAAAATAAAACCCTGTTCTAAGTTCTTGAATATGATACTAGAATGTACAATACATTTATTACTAGGTTGGACAGAGATCCTAGTGTAATGCTTCTCCTTCAACCCAATACTCTATCCTCTCTCCCTATGCTTGCTTTGTGAGCTAGGTTCTTTTGGAATTAATTATTTTTAATTTTGCATTATTTTTCTAACTGAAAAGGTTGACAGGATGGCATTTCTCTGCTGCTATGATAAAAGTGGGAGGACCAAAAAGAGGCTATTCAGTAAGTGCCAAAGTACTTAGCATGCCTATAGAATAATGATGCCACATGCCTGCGAGCAGAGCCTACTTTTGCTTACAGTTTCTCATTGGTTCTTTTTAGAACCATTAATTGATGCAGACCCCAAACTGAGCAAACTGTGCTCGCTTTGCTGGTAAGAGCAAAGGTTCAATTAGATTCCCATAGAAGAAACAGAAGGCTGCAGATGAGTTGGTAAAGGAAGTAGTCTTAAAATATTCAGTGAAGACCTCTCGAAAAAAGAAAGTTAGAAATAGGGTTGAAAGCTGGCAGATAATGTAGATTTAGACAATATGTTCAGATGGATGGTTGATTTCAATAGGGAAATAGGCTAGTGATCCTTATAGGGATCAGGCAATATTTTCACTGATCAAAGCTCATTAGTTTTTTCAGGAAGTGGAAGAGGAGGAGGAGGAAGAAGAAGAAGAAGAAGAAGAAGAAGAAGAAGAAGAAGAAGAAGAAGAAGAAGAAGAAGAAGAAGAAGAAGAAGAAGAAGAAGAAGAAGAAGAAGAAGAAAAAAGAGGAAACCTATTGCAGAGGACCCTTACTGGGACTGAAGTATGACAAAAGAAAGGAGCTCTAAAGTTTTAATTATCAGATGATCATCAGTTGGACCAAAGCCAATTGCTACTAATATTGTAAGTTCTTTCTGAACCTAGAATTAAGAGTAGGTAGGGATAGAATTGAAATTAACAAATATTAAGCTTGTACCATTACTTGTACATATATACAGGTTTAAAGTTAAGTAGAGATGAAAGTTGGAATTCAGAAAAAATACTCTCACACTTGCAAATGTAATTGCAAAGCAAGTAATTTAAGTAAGTTATTAAATTAAGTAAGTAATTTCAAGCAAAAAAGCAGACTGCTTTTGCTTATCAGTAATTGGAATAAAAGGGAAGGAAATCTGGAATACTGTTTCACACTGCCTCTTTAAGACAAAAGCTTTGGAACCTTAGACATGTCCTTTGACAGCCTACCTTCATAAGGACATGTGTTTATTATTTTAATCTACTTATTTCAATAGATGGATCTCAAGTAGAGATTGATTTTGATAAGCCTGAAATATTTTTTTTTATTAAAAAGTTTTATAAAAATTACAATATAACCCACCCAAAACCTGAGAGATTTTTTTAGGTAGAAATGCCAGCACTTGACCCCAGATCCTTCTAAATGCAAAAATATAACTCTAACACTAAGAGTATGATTCTTTCTCTACTATACTGAGGAAGAAAGCATAGGGCCAGTGTAGCAGCAATGAAATGTTCAACTAATACTGGGTCTTACCTGTTACAAAGTGAGTGATTGCAGCATCGCTCTCATTTGCACCACGGATAGCTGAGATAGAAACTTCGTATGGGGAACCAGGTCGTAAAGCTTGCATGGAATACTGCCTCAGTGGAGGCTGCAACCGGAAAGTGGTCTTTCCTCCTTCCTCATTCTCTAGGCCATATTTCAGTAGAATATAGTCTACTTTAGCCCGGGGTGGAGACCATTCAACGAAGGCCACAGTGTCAGAAACATCACGAACCAAAATCTGAGTTGGCCCATCAATTACTGGAGACATTAAGTCCATGAACAAATAGAAAAGAAGGAATTAATTTCTTTGATCAAAGGAAAACAATCTACATTTAGGGCTTATAAACATTTTGCATGAAACAGAAAAAATGCATTTATAATTTGTGGTTTTGATGATTAGAAAAAAGAAATAACAGAAAACATATTACCAATAGTTTTTTTTTGGTAATGATACTTATACTTATTCCAAAGGAAATCGAAGTTTCTTCTATTTTTTTCTTTTTATCCTTTCTTCACTTTTGCTTTTTGTTTTCTTTCTTTCCTACTTCTGTTCTTTATTAATCTCTCTCTGTGTGTGTGTATGGGTGTGTGTGTGTGTGTGTGTGTATAAATTGTCCTTAATTATGCTAAAATACAAATCCTGGGTATACTCATATTCAAAAAGATAATCGAACACCAGGATAAATTGCAAACAAAACTGTTTAAATACACTTAGCTTTTTCAGCTAATTGCCAACATTGTCAGAGTAAAATGCCAGTGTTTACTCTCCTTTTCTGTCTGGTTCATGTCCGAGTGCCTGTTGCTGGGGGTTGGTTCCCTAACGCCTCCTGGGGTGGCCATATGGCAACAGGCACTCGGACATGAACCAGGCAGAAAAGGAGAGTAACCATAAGGGAGGAAATGATCCCTGAGTTTAAGAACATGGACAGATGCGGGACAGCTAGAAACAATATGGCCAATTGGGGCGGTCAGACCAGTAACTTGAGCAGAGCGCAAAATGGCCGGCTTTATGAGCAAGCTCCCAAAACACCGGCATTTTACTCTGACAACGTTGGCAGTTAGCTGACAAAAGCTAAGTGTATTAAAACAGTTTTGTTTGTATTTTATTCTGGTATTCGATTATCTTCTTGAATGTGTTTGTGTGTGTGTGAGTGTGTGTATAATAGAAAAGAAATTACAATTGAAAAAAGGGGTTAAGGTTTGAGTATTAGAAGAAGCAATCTATATTCATTGACAAGTTACTTCTTATTCCCAGAAGAATCTCACACAGAATAAAAAGAAAAATAAGGAGCAGTGACAACTTTGCACATTTTTACTTTTGTGTTTAAATGGTTCAGAGAATGTATATTGAGATAATTTATTCAAAATCTTGACATAACTTTGTGAGAACAGAAAACTGCCTTTAAAGTAAGCAGGAAAATAGATTTGATTGATGCTAACTGACATATCCTTACCTGAAGAAAGTCTGCATATATTCACTGTAGTGTTTCACAATGCATAAATGCAGAAGTAATATATTCTTGAGAACTATGGATTCTTATTAGCCAAGGAACATTCTTGAAAACTAAGGACTTTTAGGTGTGGTTGGCAATCCTAAAGTGTTTATATGAAACAGAAGGGAAAAAAGTGGTCAAAGGTGCCAAGAAAGATTAAAACCAGGAAGGTAAAGACATGGAAGTTAAGAAACTCTGTGTAAAATTGTTACAGTCCTCTAATAGTAACAAAGTTTTTTAAACTTTGTGTAGATTGAGGTTGAGGCAAATGGCACCAACTATTTGTTAGATGTATCCATTAGAACTGTACTTAGAATTTCACATACAGACAAAGAGGACAACTTATATATAGAAAGAACCAGTTTGGTCTAGTGGTTAAGGCCCCAGGCCAGAAAGCAGGAGACCATGAATTCAAATCTCGCCTTAACCATGATAGACAGCTGGTTGACTTTGAGCCAGTCATTCTCTCTCAACACAACTTATCTCATAGGTTTGTTGTTATGGGGAAAATAGGAGGAGGAAGAATGTATTGGATATGTTCAACACCTTGGGTTGTTTGTAACAACAATAATAAAAGCGGGATACAAATAAATAAATAAATATAAATAACTTAGATTCATTCCACTGTTTTTATTTCTCTCTAATCATTTTCCACTGAGGATATAGAGACATAGTAGAATTAGTCATACCACTGTATGAACCACTGGTTTCAGATTAGAATCTTTTCAATCTGGAGATACAATTTGAAAAGCAACTCATGTAGAGAAGGTGTGAATTTCATTTATGGTTGTAATCCTTATTAACACTAACACTAAAGACACTGAGATGTCAATGTGAGGCATTCCTCTAAAAAAAAATTAGAATCCCCTCCCCCCTGATTCTTTTTTTCACTCCAGTTGTACAGTATCCCTGGAAGGTCCTGTCAACTCCTGTTGCTGGTCTTGTCTTGACACCAAGTATATTTTAAGTTTCTTTATACTTATTCAAACTGTAAAACATAAGTTAGGGTGAAAACCCAAAGGAAAATAAAGAGAATCAGACCAATGATTACTGTAGCAGCTCTTCTATCATCACAGCAAGGGATGCTTTTGCTTATGGACCATTAGGCAGAAAAGTCTCTTAAACCATAAGTCTCTTAAATTGCTTCACGTGGCCTATAGATGTCATTGGTAAGCTACATCCCGTAAGCAGTTCTCAAACACTGCTACATCTGTAAACGGAAAAAAAGGTTTGTGTGCAATAAATGTCTGTATGTGTACTTGCTGAAATGATGAAAGGATAACTTAGGTCATCATCAGGAGTGCAAATTAATATTTAGCACATTCTCTTTTCTTTAAATGAAAGATCTCCTTGTGCTGTGCAATAGTTGGTATACATATTTTTGCCTGGATCTAAAGTTCATTAATTCTTTATAATTAGCTTTGTTGATGCATCCTGTGTTGAAGCTATTTGCATGATTTTCTCCACCATCCCCAAAATAGATTTTGCTAAGTGAAGATATTTAATAAGTTGATAAGGAACATTTCTAGAAAAATGAAATCCTTGCTTCCTAGGTGAGAACTTGTTTAACCTTATTGTTGATCTATCCATATCAGCACAACAGTTCCAACAATACTCATACAGGTGTTTCTAGTGTTCCACAAATAGAGCATGAGTCTTCTCTATCACTGCATTTAGTATTTAGAAGTATATTGTTCCTAAACATGATGGTTCTTCTTGAAACAAATTACTTTTCAAATACTCTTATCCCACTAGGAAAGAAGGTAGATATTAATTCACAAGCTTACATAAAAAAGTAAGTTAGGGTTACTTACAGGTTGAAACGCTGGCTGAAGTGGGTGAACTTCGGGCTTGTTCCTTGAGAGCTACAACATTGACTGTGTACTCTTCACCTGGTTTCAGGCCGGTCTGATTGAAAGTTGTCACACTACTGGGAAGTTGAGCAATCACACCCCCTTCATTGTCCTACAGACATTAAAAAAACCTGATTCAGAGTTGAATAAACTTTGAATTTTCTCCATGGGCATTACTGAACCTCATGTTTCTGTGCCCTAAAATTTACTTCCTTTCTCTGTAAAGAAGGAGAACTTCTACACCCCATCAAATTGGGAGCCATAGTGAATTTACTGTAGTAACATAGATTCTAATAATGGATGGCAACTGCAACCTTCCAATGTTCTCACCTCACTTTTTAAAACACAAAAAGCATATATGACCCTATATGAATAAATCTAAAAGGTGGACAAATATGTATAGGAAATTGTATGGTTTTACTAATAAATAAAAGTATAGTAAGAATGGATTTTCTTTCAATTTTGAGGGGGAAAAACAATTATGCCAATTTTAACAAATCATAAAGTGAATATTTACTTAAGAGTTGGACCAAACTGCCTATCTCTGGGATAAATGTATATGCAGGTTGGAAGAATATACTGTAGAAACTGCAAGGGAGACTGTGTATGTGTGAAAAAGAAAGGAAAAAAGCGAGGGAAGGAGAAATAGAAGATTGAGAAAATGAGAAATCTTTTGTGAAACTGAGAAATCTTGTGCTGATATTTTGTCTGTTTTTGAAGATTGCTGTCCCTGAGATTGATAAATTGTTGTGCTCGCAGGTACGTTTATGCTGTTGTAAATGCAATATATATATGGCTGAATTTTCATTATTTCCTGCAGCATGGCTATATGCTATAGGTTTTCCTGCCTCCACTAGCATTTAAAAATAGATAATCTTTCTAAAACCTAGAAAAATTATTGATGATAGTATATTTCAATGCCCCCATAAGCTGAGATTTACACAAATAATTTTTATTAGTTTTGTTATTCAAACTTAATACTTAAATTGTGAAGTCTGTTATAGAAGTAGATACTAAAACAATTTCTATAAATTTGAATCCATGAAACAGAGTGGAGGCAGAAGAACATTGTTACCATATAACTTTTATTAGCCATTTTAAATATGATTTCATTAAAATGATGTAGCAAACTATTAAACAAATAAAAGTAGCATCTGCTTTGTAAGTTCCAGTACACTAGTGGCTGGTGAGCTGCAGGTTCAGTTCTTTCATAACACATTTGTGTGAAAAATTCCTTTTTTTATGTTTTTTTTTAAAACAAAATTTTATTAAGTTTATATAGATGAGGAAAAATAGGAACAATACAGGTATGATAAAGGGAGGGGTGGAAGGAAAGGGGAAGGGGAAGGGAATAAGGCATTAGGGTAAAATAAGGATAGGTACAATCACATATTGTGTGAAAAATTCCTTGTGTGTCTAATCACACTTGGCCAAATAATGTATTCAATTAAATTTAATTCAAAATATATCATTCAGCTATGAGTGACAATGTAGTGGTATAAAATAATTACAGTATACATAACGATACATATAGTTCTTTCTTTGCAAATATATTATGAATTAGAAAGCAGAGTAATTCTGGCTTTCACTATACTATATATGCAATAATGTAATGATCAAAAAAGCTGCTGCCTTTTTTCACAGAGAAGGGGGTTTATAACTACACATAGCAGCAAACTACAACCAAAACATCAATCCTGTGATCTTCACTCTATAATGTGACATCAGCAAAAAGCGGCCTACTTTATGCATATCAGCTTCTTCCATTAGCTGATATTTTTTTTTCCTTTTGCCTTTGGTTGATTTGCAAAACACTGACTTTGACTCACTCTCTCCTAACTTTGTCAGCCAAGTATTTCAACTCAAATGCTTCTGCCTATCTCTTCAAGGCTCAACTCAGAGGTGTCAAACTGCCAGCCCACGGGCTGGATGCGTCATGGTGAAACTGCACCCACCCCATTGCCAACAATGGAAAAAAAATTGCAATACGTCGCGACATGTCACGTAACATTTCGACTTTGACACCCCTGCTCTAACTGGTCCAGGGAAAGGTGTATAACAGCAATATCTTATGAGGTCATGTGAATAAAGATAAAGAGAAAAAAAGGAGAATTGGACACAGGATCCATGCAGAGAAAAACTCACATAAGCCAGATAAAATCCATTCTAGGGAGATGCTCTATTAATCTGTCCAAAGATAGAACCAAGGCTAGCTCTATTGATGAGAATTCTAGAAAGAAGGAACTATTAACAAACAACCAAGTGAAACTTTGGCTGTGATTAAGGAATGTGTGAGTAAATTAATAATGCAGACATCACTGGAAAAGTAATATATTTGAGTAAATATACCAATAAAGGGGGAAGTTCCGAGATGATAATCAAGAAAATCCTAGTGACTCCTAAGAACTTCAAGACTGAACAGTACTGCTTCCAATTTACATTACTAAGAGTCACTGCTCTATGAAACTTTCTGTTGCATCTTTAGTCCTTATCCTGCTCTTTATATGGCATCTTCAATTTGGTGGTTTAGACTAGAGTCCCTCAGTCTCTTTTCTCAAGCAACGTGCTTATGCTGGACTATGAAGAACCATGATTAAGCCTTATAGGCTCACTCTTGTATGCAGATTCAGCAGATTTCTGTTTTCCAACTTCTCTTTCAAGCAAATATTACCCCTTCAATCAGAAACTTAACTCTAAATTCTACTGTTGGAACCATTAAAGGTGGGATCCAATTTCCCAGGTGTTTTGGATGTTACTTTGGCAAAAACATCCTTATGGTCATGAACAGATTGCAACTAGGTAAGTCATAACTCTAATGATTTTCAACAACACATTATAATTGGTTTGTTCTCCTTAATGATAGGCTGTCCTTGAGCAACATTCCATCATGCATGCAGGCAGAGAAAAGCATTAAGTCATCAACCACCCAAATTGAAAGTCTGGAAAATATCTCACTTCTACCAGTTCAGTAACATTTTCTCTGATAGGGATCGTGGCTTCTCTATCATTTTCTAATCTGTACTCTAAGCCTTCTAAATGCCCTTGTGAACTTATGTTCAAGATTAAATGTTACTGCTGAACCTTGAAAGCTTTAACTATTTCAGTGTCAACTGAATGTAAGTTGAATAAGGTTGCTCCTTTCCTGCTAATGTATGACACCCTCAGTAAATTGCATATTAACATTAAAGTTTCTCCTGGGTCTTTGTTCACTTTTTTTTTGTCTTCCCTCTAGTGCTGCACACATAACACATTCCCCGAGCCTATGTACCAAAGATACCATAATATGAGATTTCTCTACATGTGGTAACAACTACTTATGATGAAAGGATATCGCCAAAGGCAAGATAGTTACCTTGGGGATGAAGCTGATCTCCCAGCCATCAAAGGGAAAAGAGAAGGGTTCCCATTCCATCTCAACAGTGGTCTCTGTGATAGTTTTGAACTGCAGTCCTCGTGGAGTAGAGAGTTCTGGATATAGAGATGGGGAATACAATCTTTCTTTAGTTCAGGTCTAACTATCCTCCTCACTACATCAACTACCCTCCTCAAATTTTTGTTGTTGCCCAAAGTACATAACTGGGAGACACCCTGCTCCAATAAAACAATTAGAACCCTTATACTGGGTACTCATAACTCCATGTTGGTTTCTTTCATATGAAACCTAAATGTCCACAACCCCAGGGAGGGACTGCTAGAAATAAGAAGACAAAGAAAAGTCTCTCTACTTCTTGAAAGAACTCTCTACTACTTGAAACAATCCAGGTTATTGAAAATGGAACAGTTTTATGAACAGTAGGGAAATTTTTCCCAGGAGTAACACTTCAGCATGAATCAAGGATATTTGTAGAAAATTAATTATGTCCACAATGATATCCCAAATAAGCTCTAGGGTTAGTGATACACTAATGCAAAAGTTAGTTGCATAATCAATATAAGGCGAAAGACGCTAAGTGATCTCCATATGTTTCTTTCCAAACTATGCTTGTTTCTTTCAGTAGTAGCAGGTTTTCCTGAATACACAGGCTAATGACAAATCCATTTGGCAGAGTGCCACAGCCCTTCCTGATTGAAAGATCAGTATATTCATAATTGTCAGCTCAAAACTGCAATTGCCTGTAATTCATACTTCTAAATTTTCAGTTGTATCTTTATGATATTATACCTGGAAAGTGTTAATCTATCTGTAGGAATGGAAGTTATTTGGTTTTAATCAAGTGAATTGAATAGATGTCAGTTGAGGCATTTTTCTCTTGCCTATCATCATTTTAATACAAAAAACTCAGAGAGAAAAACATATTGGAAAGGCTTTATGAATGCTGCAGGCAGTACAATAAAGCTGTATCTATGTGCACTACTTTCCTTGCAGTTCACCCATTGAAAGATGAATTTCAGCATGCTATTTAAGGTTGATTTACAATTATCTTAAATCATCTCTCTTTCCTTACAATGGCACAATTTTAAAACATGTACCAACTTTTTAATCACCACCCCAAACCATACCCTTAGCAGTTGTTTGGTGTGTTGACAGCAGAGGTGACTGCTGTGATATGAAAAATTCAATTCTTCTAATTCAGGCTGTTACCATACTCACACAAGGCCATGTTATACCCCACCCCGCCACACACACCTTTAACCCTAATGGATTTTAATTCCTAATCACTGCTGTAAAGCAAAATTTGTGAGTAGATATTGTTATGTCCCGAGCCTTGCAAACGGGCTCGGGGCGTTTGCAGGCAGTCCCGGGCAGGTGCAAGCTGCCCGGGACCAGACAGGCTGTCGCCAGCGCCTGTGCGCATGCGCGGGTGCTGGCACGGGAAAAGTAACACATTGACCCGGGAATTGCCTATATAAGAGGCTGGGAGCTTTTGGGCGTTGCTGAAGCCTTCACCTATAAGCTGAACACAGAATAAAAGAAAACCTGAGAACTACAACTGCTTCTCGTGTCTGCTTTTCGCCAAGGACTCAACACTGGCGATGAGGGTGGATTGTCTTACATCGTCTGGAAAGGAAGAGGTGTAAGCTTACCCAAGTGAGTCCTGAGCGGCGGAACGGAGTTGACTCGGCAGCTACCCGCCAATCCAGTGCGCATTCGGGGGTAGGCTGGCTGATAGACCCGTCTCCTGAAGATGGCAAAAATTGGAAGGCTTTCAGAGTTCGACGTCTCACATCCAGAGCGGTGGGACTCCTACGTAGCCAGGGTGGAAAATTACCTCAAGGTGAACCAAGTGAGGGAAGATAGCTTGAAGGCTGCCACCCTGCTTTGTGTCTGCGGCCAAGACGCCTTCGAAATCGCAGAGAACCTTGCAGCACCTGTTTCATTAGAGTCTGTCAGCTACGCAGATCTAAAGAAGCTATTGAAGGAGTACTTCCAGCCCAAGATGTCCGTCATCGCATGGTGCCTCACTTTCGAGCAGAGGGATCAACGATCCGGAGAGTCGGCCAAAGAATACATCGCCGCATTGAGGAAGGCCGCCAAGCACTGTGAATTCAAGGACCTCGAAGAACGACTGAGGGACCGATTCGTGTGTGGCTTAAGGCATCGAGATCTACAACAGAGGCTTTTCGCCAAAGAAGACTTGTCCTTCCAAGATGCCTTAAGAGAGGTCACCGCAGAAGAAGCAGCAGGCGGCGCCGTCAAAAACATGCGGCCGATCAGGAACAGTCCAGATGTTGCATCCGTGCACCAAGAGGACGTCCAAGGGAACTCTGAGGAGGATCTGGACGAGGAAGTCGACCGTCTCCACCCCACGAAGGAAGGGAATCAGAAAGGAAGCTCTGCAGCTCCCCTCAAGTGCATCGGCTGTGGAGGTTGCCACAGGAGAACCGACTGCAAGTTCCGCTCCGCTATCTGCCGGGCGTGCAGAAAACAAGGACATATTGCAGCTGTGTGTCTGGGCCGACGAAAGGTACAACCTCAGGAAGAACTGCGCCTGAAAGGTACCAGGGTCCCCAGCCAGAATAGGGTAGGTTTTTGCGCTTCGCGAAGAAGCATCTTCAGGACAGGCACACACAAGCCCATCAAGAAAAAGCTGTCACTCAAGGTGAAGCTACAAGGGGTTCCATTAACTATGGAACTAGACATGGGGTCTGCCCTTTCAATCATATCCTTACATACATTTAGGAAGATTTGTTCCGGAAGTGGAACTCAGGCTAAATTAAGGCCTTCTGACATTGTGTTAACAGACTTTCAAAATTCGAGAGTGTGTGTTAAGGGGGAGGCCACCCTTAACGTACAGTATAAGAATTTTGAAGGTCCACTAGACCTATTAGTAGTAGGGGGTGAACGAACGAGTCTCATAGGACTCGATTGGTTTGAAGCCTTGGGGATACACGTCACGGGGCTCAACAGCTTACAAACACTCGACCTACAGGAAGTCTGCAAAGAATTTGCAGATGTCTTCAGCCCCCAGCTGGGCACATTCAAGGGACCCCCTGTGTCCTTAAAACTAGACCCCACTGTCACTCCCATTAGAATTAAAGCAAGAAGGGTCCCTTTTGCTTTAAAGAGTAAAATTGACACTGAGTTAGACAAACTGATCCAACAGGGAATTCTAGAACCTGTTGATTCCAGCCCTTGGGAGACCCCCATTGTCACGCCTCTAAAGGCAAATGGGGACATTCGCATTTGTGCTGACTACAAATGCACTCTTAATAAGGCATTGCAGCAACATGCCTATCCTGTTCCTGTGGTCAGTCATATTCTGGCCTCCCTCAAGGGGGGGCGCGTTTTTGCAAAGCTTGACCTAGCTCAAGCGTATCAACAGCTGCCTGTTGATGATGCTGCTGCTATAGCTCAGACTATTGTGACCCACAGGGGAGCCTTTAAGGTAAAAAGGCTACAGTTTGGAGTGAATGTCGCTCCTGGGATTTTCCAAAGCGTAATGGAAAACACACTACGGGGCATACCGGGGGTTTGCCCCTACTTTGATGATGTCTTAATTGCAGGAGACTCCACACACATTCTAGCTGAAAGGCTAAGGGCTGTTCTGTTAAGGTTCAGGAAAACAGGCCTCAAGCTCAAAAAAGACAAATGCAAAATTGGGGTGCCTTCTACTGAATTTCTGGGGTTCAAAATTGATGCTGCTGGGATTCACCCTGCTGAATCCAAACTAACTGCCATTTTAGAAGCACCTAGGCCAAAGTCTAAGGCCGAACTTCAGGCCTTTCTGGGCCTCCTGAATTTCTACAATTCCTTTCTTCCACATAAAGCTAGTGTAGCTGAGCCTCTTCACAGGCTATTAGACAAACAAGCAGTGTGGCAGTGGTCACAAACACATGAGGCTAGTTTCAATGAGGTCAAGGCCTTACTCACTTCTAACAGTGTACTTGCACACTTCAATGAGTCCCTTCCTGTGTGCATCGCTTGTGATGCTTCCCCTTACGGGGTAGGAGCCGTCCTGAGCCACCTCAGGTCTGATGGAACTCAGGTTCCTGTTGCATATTACTCCAGAACACTGTCTTCTGCTGAGCGCAACTACGCTCAGATAGACAGGGAGGCTCTGGCTGTTGTTGCTGGAATTAAAAAATTCCATGATTTCTTGTATGGCAGGCATTTCACGGTCTTCACTGACCATAAGCCTCTGCTGGGACTGTTTACCACACGTAAACAAACTCCCCAAATCATTTCCCCTAGAATGCTTAGGTGGTCTATTTTTCTGTCTGCATATGATTTTTCCTTACTCCACAAGCCTGGGAAAGAAATGGGCCATGCTGATGGCCTCAGTAGATTGCCCCTGCCAGTAGTAGAAGCTGACCCTGCGCCAGCTGTCAACATTCTATCCATCCAAGCCTTGCCCGAGTCCCCTCTGAATGCCAGGGATGTTGCCGCTGAAACAGGCACAGATCACACACTTTCACGTGTCCTTTCTTGGGTTTTGTCTGGATGGCCTGAGCACTGCCCTAGTCCTGAGTTTCAGAGTTTCTGGTCCAAAAGGAACGAGTTGTCCACTTCTCAGGGTTGTCTGCTTTGGGGAAACAGAGTTGTCATTCCCACCTCAATGAGGACTAGGATCTTAGAGTCCCTCCACGAGGGTCATCCTGGCATTGTTCGCATGAAGGCCCTTGCGCGCAGCCACTTGTGGTGGCCTGGTTTAGATAAGGACATTGAGGCTAAGGTGCATGCATGCCACCTGTGCCAGCGCTCTCACCCAGAGATGCCACAAGCTCCTGTGCATAGATGGGAGGATACACAGTCCCCATGGTCTAGGGTGCACATTGACTACGCTGGGCCCTTTCAGGGCCAGTTCTTCTTGGTCCTCGTTGACAGTCATTCAAAATGGCTTGAGGTTGTACCTGTCTCATCCACCACCACTGCAAAGACTATTCAGGTACTGAGGGGGATTTTTGCTGCACACGGGCTCCCAGATGTCATCGTGTCTGACAACGGCCCTCAATTTACTTCCTCCGAATTCCAAGCTTTCTTACAGGCTAACATGATTCGTCATGCCACGTCTGCACCCTTCCACCCATCCACCAACGGTATGGCTGAACGCATGGTCCGCATCACAAAGGACGCCTTGAAAAGACTCACCTATGGGGACTGGCATCACAGGTTGGCTGACTTTCTCCTTTCTTACCGCACCACACCGTCCACTTCTACAGGGAGAAGCCCAGCTGAACTTCGCTGGGGGCGCAAACTTACTACGAAGCTTGACCGGTTGCATCCGGACAGACTGCCTTCATCTACCTCACATCCTAGGGCACCTAGACAACTACTTGTGGGTGCCCCGGTTTGGACTCGCAATTACGGGCCTGGTCATACATGGGTCCCCGCTTCTATTTCCAGGGTCACAGGTCCTCTATCCTACAAGGTAGCCCTGGACAACGGTCGTGTCCTGCGTCGGCACATCGACCAACTCCGCCCTAGGCGGGATCTTTCAGATGAGACTCCTGAGTCTTTTCCAGGGGGGAGGGGGACCCTTTAGAGCAAAGGGAGGGGCACGAGCTGCTGCCCACCTCCAATGATGGAGCCACAAACGGCCCATTCCAAGATTCCACGAGTGCCCCAAACAGGAATTCTAAGAGCCTATCCAACTACCAGGCATTCATGCCTACTCCAGCCAGGGAGTCACCCCGGGGGTACAATCACTGTTCACCTGCACAGCACAGTACTCCAGTCAGGGAGGATACCCGGGAGCATCCCAATAAATCATACCCCGCAAGAGAGCTGGCACATAATCCCCAGAGTTGGCCTGACCTTACCCCAAGTCCTACAGGGGGTCAAACATACAGGGAGGTGGTCGAGGAACCAAGTCCCGACCGCAACACCTCTAGCCCAAATCAGGGAGTAACTGAGTTTTGGGAAGGTACAGAAACCCACACGAGCCCGGACACAGAACGGGGTTTAGGGAATGGACAGCCTCCTGACAGGTCTTGGACGGACCTAGGAGGTTCTACAGAGATGCCCAGCAGTGGCTATCACTTCAAGGGGCCCGAGGGCTTACAGCTAGGCAGGTCAACCAGGTCACAAAGTGACAGAAGCCCTGGCCTGACGAGCCCGGTGGGCGAGCAAGCAGGCCAGGCATTGGGGCACAGTCCTTGGAAGGCACCAAGGCAAGATAAGGAGAACAGGTTCACGTCTCCCTTCAGTCAGGGTACACCTGTCAGAAACCCAGAGCTGAGAAGGTCACAGAGAGCAAGGAAATCTCCTAAGTACTTAGAGGATTACATAACATTGCTGGCTAAACAAAAGCCAGTAAACAGTAGGAGCACTGGGGAGTAGAACACTGCATCAAGAAATAATTGTATGTTGGTAGTAGTCTTAGCCCGGGGGAAAGGGGTGTTATGTCCCGAGCCTTGCAAACGGGCTCGGGGCGTTTGCAGGCAGTCCCGGGCAGGTGCAAGCTGCCCGGGACCAGACAGGCTGTCGCCAGCGCCTGTGCGCATGCGCGGGTGCTGGCGCGGGAAAAGTAACACATTGACCCGGGAATTGCCTATATAAGAGGCTGGGAGCTTTTGGGCGTTGCTGAAGCCTTCACCTGTAAGCTGAACACAGAATAAAAGAAAACCTGAGAACTACAACTGCTTCTCGTGTCTGCTTTTCGCCAAGGACTCAACAGATATGATCTGAGATGAAACAGATTTAATTATGTAAGGATGCTAATGTTGTTTCCAGTAGATTTCCAACATCTGATTGACTTTTTAAATTGCTAACTCAGTATTCCTGGGGGATGAGAAGATTGTAATGGGCCTTGGATTTCAATGATTTTGAAAATGACATGAGTATCAGTATTGGCTCTCAGAGTTGAAACTTTTCCGTTAATCTTGATAAATAGAACCTTGAAAGTGTGCCATACCTTGATTTGTGTTTTATAATGTGATGCCTCTCTGCTAAGACACAGATTGGTTTGATAATACTATTTGCATTTCTCAGTTTCCCTTTTTGGATATCATCCTCCATCAACTAATTTTTCTTCTGAACAGTGCAATTCATTGCTTGCATAGAATTCTGCTGTTTTGTCTTCATGAAGCTGAGGGGTCCAAAGGAAGCTAACCACCTATTCATACACCTATAATGAGGTTTGCTGCATAGTAAATTCCTGGAGATATTAACTCCATACCATTACTCAAGATAGCTAGCCATATAAGAGTTGTGGCTTATTCTATTGTGTGTTGCTTCCTTTGATTCACTCTGCCTGCTGTGGGACACCCCTGTTGCTGCAGGTAGAAAAGAACCCCCCCAAAAAATTCTTGTGGGAGTAAATCTGTTAATGGAATCCTACAAGAAAAGTAACTGAGAAGAGGGCAGTAGTAAACTGAGTTTATGGGAAGAGTTAAGCATGTTTCCTCCTATTTCTCATTTGTTCCCCATTCCTCTTCCCACCCCAAGGAGGCTTTCTTATAATCATTGCAGTTCTGTGATATGAATTTATATTAGTTCGGCCTTAACTGATCGGAATCAGAGCATAATCTGTCCCACAAACACAACACAGCAAAGTCAGCCTATAATTAAGGAGAGTGGCAACTGTTTCAGCTAACAGATGCAGGGTTAGGGAACAACATCAACAGAAGACTTGGAGGACAAAGCTACGTGCATCAAGCAGCCTGTTCTGATTTGGTCATCCTAAATTAGCTTGTTGTTGTCAGCTGCAGAAAAGAGTAACGCTTTGTTGCCATAGTTAGATTGGTTGGGTCCTGTAAGCTATCATTTTTTGCCAGGCAGGAAAATGCTTCAATCAGTCCACTTTAACAGGTAGAGCATGACTGTTCCAAGTTTGTACTGCCCAGGTTCCACTTGGAATTAAATAAATCATTTTTTGAGGATACATATAAATATTCAGCATGAGCAAGGATGCATGAATATTTTCTGGAACCAGAAGAATTTGTGAAACCATTTTTTCCAGCAACTTAAGTGGGCTTAGTCCCATCATACAACATATCTCTGACAGCTTTTATGGGAATAGCTCCCTCCGGCTTATTCAACATATCTACCAAGCGATGTGTAGGAAGAAACTGGGGCAAGCAGTTGTAATAAGAGAAGAAAAACAAAATTCTGAGGATATTTGGAAATATGATATAGAAATTTGGAAGTCCCAGGGACCCAATAATCACTGAGATGATTGATTTTACTGGTGATTTTACCAAGGTTTTTTAATTTCTTTGGTATTCTTACAGATGTTTTCTTGAATGAAATTTTTCTATATTGATTTAATTAAGATATGTTGAAACTGACTTGAAATCACTAAATTTTATTATACTCTTCAGTTATAATTAATAAACAGAACTACCTAGAATTTCATTCTCTCAAAGCAAAATGGAACAATAGCTCCTTTGTGACAGAGGAAGACAGGATTCCTCAACAATTGTTCCATAGGAGCACATTGTATCTGCAACCAATCACCTTCAAACACAGACTTTTTTTGTGATTAATCATCAATTTTTTTAAACATATGAAAAGGGATGTCCTTAAAATCTCTTTTAAAAACTTCTCTCAATTGTGAAACCTGAAATAGCAATTTGGGGTGCAGAATAAGTGGAGAATACTTACGGGTGGCTACCTTGACTCCAAGAGGGGCACTGAGCACTTCACTGATAACAGCATAGATGCTGATGTTGTATGTCAGTCCTGGCTCCAACTCCTTCAGAGTGACAGTGGTCCAGTCGCCCGGCACTCGCTGCTGGAGCTGCAGGCCCCCTGGCACTGCTGGCTGGTAGGAAATGACATATTCAGTCACAGCCATTGGGCCATCCCATTCCAGGTCAATTGATCGGTCTCTGACTGCAGCCACTTGCAGACTCTCTGGAGGAGCAACTGGAGGGTGGGTGGAGGAGAGAGAGACAATTTTCAAACATGATCCACCAATCTCTTCAAACTCCTCTTTGACATCTGCTTCCCCTTTGATCAACTCACTGAGATTTCGATACTAAGCACCTATACCTTGGGACGGAATTCAGTTCTATGGAAAGCATTTTCAAGTCAAATGGTACAATGACAACATTATTTGTACTTATTTCTACAATCAATCGGGATTTGCTTTCAGTTATTTATTTAATGTAGCCACCATAAGTCCTCCTTTCTGATGAAATCTCTTGATGTTATTGCCTTTGCAAGGACATTTTATTTTGTTAAATATTCACTTAGATATGGACTAAACCAATTCATTGCACAAAGCAGTCTAAAGCCTTAGTTTCCTCCTTATAGGGAGGCCTTTCAGGTGGACCTTGGGAATTGCTATTTTTAATTCTTAGATTATATTGTATCTTGCTGTAGTAATTTTTTTAACAGATAATCCCTTTAGGCCCAGAAGTTGTATTTCTTCTTTGCCCCTTTCAGCATTCCACTTGTTATATGCATATGTACAATATTTTTACATGGGTACTTTCTTTTACATAGTATATAAACATTCCAGGATTTCAAAATATTACAGCTACATCAGTTTCTGACTAGTTATGTTCCTATCTCAGTCTTTCCCTGTTTGTGGCATTTTGGAAACTGAGCAATGTTGCCTTTGCAATCCTTGTTCACATCTCTCAACTTGTTAAAGGTAGAATAGAATAGAATAGAACTGGAAGGGACCTTGGAGGTCTATTCCAGCCCCCTGCTTAAGTAGGAGAACCTATACCATCTCAGACAAGTGACTTGTCTAGCCTCTTCTTAAAAATCTCCAGTGATGGAGCGCCCATGACTTCTGGAAGCAAACTGTTCCACTGGCTAATTGTCCTCACTGTCAGGAAGTTTCTCCTTAATTCCAGGTTGCTTCTCTCTTTGATAGGTTTCCAACCATTGTTTCTTGCCCTGCCCTCTGGTGAATAACATGACCCCCTCTTCTTTGTGGCAGCCCCTCAAATACTGCTATCATATCTTCCCCATTTCTTCTTTTCTTTAGATTAGCAAAACCCAAGTCCTGCAGCCGTTCTCCATATGTTTTAGTCTCCAGTCCTTTGATCATCTTAGTTCCTCTTCTCTGAATTTTTTCCAAACTCTCAACATCTTTTTTGTGATATGGTGACTAAAATTGGCTGCAGTATTCCAGGTGTGGTCTTACTAGGGTTTTATAAAGTGGTACTAATACTTCAAGTGATCTTGACTCTATGCCTCTGTTTATACAACCCAGGATTGTATTAGCTTTTTTGGCTGCTGCTGCACACTGCTGGCTCATAGTCAAATGATCGTCCACTAGGACTCCAAGGTCCCTCTCACAGTTACTGTTTTTAAGCCAGGTCTTGCCTAATCTGTACTTATACCTTTGATTTTTCCTGCCTAAATGTAAAACTGTACTTTTCTCCACATTGAAAATCATTTTGCTGGATAGGGCCCATTGTTCAAGTTTGTCAAGATCTTTTTGAATCCTGAGTTTGTCTTCTGGGGTGTTGGATACTCCTGCTAGTTTAGTGTCATCTGCAAATTTGATGAGTTCCCCTTCAATTCTCCATATGGTAAGATGTGCTTGCATACACAATTCTCCATCAGATTCAGATACAAATAAAATGATAATAAGCCATTTTAAAAGCAATCTTTGGCAGCTATGAAGATTAGAAAGCATACTTTCTGAAGTGAAAGCTCAGAATTTTGAGGATCCAGATGTTAATATCTGACAGTGGTCAAGCCCCCAAATTATAATAATATGACTTTTTGGTGCTATTGTAATTTCAAACAGTTGCTAAATGAATGGTCATTAAGTGTAGACTACCTGTATGAAATATAGCATCACTAGAAGGAAGGAAGATCTTTGGAATTAAGGAAGAGGGGCCTTCTACTATTGTCTATTCTTGTGTGTGAAAGTTCCGGTGCTAAGATAGATCAGTTAGCATATTGTAAAGGCTGTTTGCTAGGATATGGAATAAGTGGAATTGAAATTTTAATGTCTTTGTATTATTTAACTTGCCAGCTTGTACATGAAGTGTGGTAAGGCTTTATTTACATCTTAAACTGAACAGGTCAAATGCATGGCTGAGGCTATAAAATTGATACAGCAAAAAAAGCTTGTTAAGCCAAAAAGGGTCTGTCTCTATATTTAGGAGATATGCAAATATATGTAAGTTCTCTTTACTTTAGAAATCATTTAATACAATAAGGATTAACTTTAATAAGCAGAGGGCCTTTGAGAATATTAAATTCCTGTATGCGCAGTCAGCTGTAAACAATAAGACAGAGGAGGTTGCCCTTCATGATTCTACCTCACTGATGTAGGAGGAAAAAATATCAGCATGTCATAGTCAATATAGAAACACACCCAAGCTTTTTAATTAGCCAGAGGAAATTACTTTTATCACATTAACTGCTAAACATTTGACCGTGCTCTTTGTTTGATGATGGCATCGTTTAATATATTCTTATTTCCCTTTGGGGTGCGGTGCTGGGGACAATGAGGCAAATGTTAGTTCATAAGGAAAAAGCCCATCTAGGGTAGCTGACATCAATATGGATAGAGACAAGATTTTTTGGAAGCCTTGAAGCTGTTGCTGGGATGTAAGATATGTAATGTAGCACCTCAGCCTTGACTTCTATTATTCCAACTGGAGTGAATGAAATGATAACAGACTGAAGTGATATGAAGGAACCTTCCACTTCTTTTCTTAGGTAGCAATCCTATGCCCATTTGCCTAATAGTAAAGCCTAGCAGTAAACTCAATGGAAATTACTTAAACAGGCATATCATTGTACTGTTTAGCCACTACCTGTGTTCTAACAGTAACAATGGCTTTCTCTGTATACAGATAATAACTGACTTGCAAAGCAAACAGATGTTGTGTTGTAGCAGCCTGATTTGCAGAAATCAAGTTGTGAAGCTTTTTGTTTACTGTATAGTTTGTAGACAGCTGCAGAACTGCTCTCAAAGGGAAGAAACCAGTAAAGAATTCAAATGACTGAACTCCCACATGCTTTCATGATGCATCTAGCCTTGGGACTTCTGCAGCAAGCATGGATTGAGATGACTGGACTTAACAGTCCACTCCCACAGTTGGTCCAAACTTTCCAGAATATTGGATGGCAGAAAGGGGCACTCAGCTCCTTTTAAAATGCTAATCTTCTATGCATAAGGGGTGTATTTGTAAGAACACTTGTCCATCATGTGAGTGCCACAAGCATCTCACGTTGAACCATTCCTTGAGAATATCAAGCCACTCATTGGAAGAACTCCCTTTGGGAACAACATATAACATAAAATAATATATCTGAGTGAATGGGGCCACCGTTCCTGCTGTTGCAAATAAGAGGTAGCAGTTCTCCAGCCAGCTTTTGTGAATACAAAATCTGCCTCAAACATGGCATTTCACAAGTATAAGAGGCTATGATTTGTGGGAATGATCAGGGACATGATCTTTAAATTCCTAGACTATGATCTAAATTAATGATCTAAATGGATGACAACGTGACAATCTGTAATGAACTTGACCCAGAAGCAATTTTCCATTCAGTATTGACTGAGGTACAACCTAGCAGAAAAGTGCTAGAGGCAACTGCTGAAGCAGAAGAATTAAGTGAGGAGAATACAGAAATTGCAGATATTTCAAAAGAAGAAAATATCAGTCATTTGATAATGTCATTAAAGTCATTTGCTGGGGAAAAATGCCCAGGTATGCTGAATGGTATAGCTAGTGTTGACAGTGCTTTTTCTGCTTACCTTCATAAAAATTGATTCTTTTTTTTCAGAAAGAATGATCAAACCATGAGAAAACAAGTCATATGTAAATGTATTGATTTTGTATGATACAATATTGTATGAATGATTTTCCTGTGTTTTCCTATGAAATTCACTAATAAACGCTATACAATAAAATGAGGCACGCGTACCCATCAGTACAGCTGTCCGTATGTTGACCACCTCAGTACATTCACCAATTTCCTTTAGTCCCTTGAGTGGTCAACTTTCAGAGGTTTTACTGTACTTACATGAAGAGCTTCTGGCAGATGATGGGCTACACCTCACAAGAACCAGGAAGAATATTTTTGGAAAACAAGTGGTTCAGCTTGTCCAAAGTGCTTTAAACTAAATCTGGAAGGGGAGAGAGACCAATCTTTAAGACATAATCCCAAGCATAAATCTCAAAATATTGTGTAATGTGAAAGAAGAGGAAACCAGATACAAAGCAGGAGATGCAGGATCATCAAGAAGGACTCAGATGCCTATACACTAACACTTAAAGTATGAGGAACAAGTAGGGTAAATCTGAAGTCCTAGTACATGAAGGCAGGTATGACATTGTTGCCATTACTGAAACATGGTGGGATAAAACCCCATGACTGGAACATACCATTAGAAATAATTAAATTGTTCAAAAGAAACAGATCAAACAAAAGAAGAGATAGAATTCAGATGAAAGCAACATGGTTGCATAAAGAATTCTCTGATAAACTGAGAGACAAAAAGAACAAATATAAAAAAATGGAAGAGGAACACATAACTAAAATAGAATACCAGCAAATAGCCCAAATCAGCAAGGATAATAAGGATCAGGAAAGCTAAGGGTAAGAATGAACAAAGACTTGCAATAAGTGCCAAAAATAATACAAAAGTTTATTTCAACTTGTAAAAAAACAAGAAAAAGTGAAGAAAATGATTGGTCCACTAATGGAAGAAGATGGCAAGGAAGTAATGGATAGCTGGGAGAAACTTCATGCTTAATGAATGCTTAATTTATTCTTTGCATCTGTCTTTATACAAAAAGAAAAAGCAGACTAACCTATCAAAAGCAGTACCATAGAAAATAGAATAGGAATACCAGTCAAAGATGTCCTGATGGACCATCCTTAAGAATGAGTGGAAGATGGCTTCCATTTTTGATGTCACAATGATATGGACACAGGAA